ACGCACAGCTTCATTGTTCCTACATATGGAAACGCCCCCACACATTACAATCTACATCAAATTTCAGACGGACAAATCAAAGCATTTTCAGAGCCAGAGTGAGTACCGAGAATGCAGTTTAATTGAATCGAAGCATCTATCATGAACTCGATAATATTTTTTTCGTTTTTGATCCATGTTCGCAAACAACAGAAGCTTACGTTTGTTCATGAATTTCAAATCCTTCGATTTTCCGTCGAGGAATCCTCATATTTTCGTTGATTAGTTTCATTGCTACACCAAATCCTTCGTCCGGAACTTTTAATTCGTGCCGATCTATTACTCGATTTGTAATTTTTGTTGTTGTTTGGTGTTGAGCAGGTGAAGAATGGGGAGTTTGCGTGCGATTTTGAGGAATCCAGAGGATTTGTACCCGCTGTTAAAACTGAAATTGGCATCGAGAAACGCGGAGAAACAGATCCCGTCGGAGCCACACTGGGGATTTTGTTACTCTATGCTTCAGAAAGTTTCTAGAAGTTTTGCTTTCGTTATTCAGCAGCTCGATACGGATCTACGTGATGCTGTGAGTTATTTTTTTGTGTTTCGAGTTTTTAATTGATCCTTTCCCTTTTTTTTTTTTTTTTTTTTTTTTTTTCTGTAACGCAATATTTGCGATTAGGTTCCCGCTCTCAGTGATAGTCCTAGATTCTGTCTCAGAAATGACAAATTATCTGTCAGTGCATGCAATAGTTGAACCTGGTGGTATGCGATGACATCTACATAATTTTTGGGGCAATTAACTGAAGTCTAAATTCTTTAAGATGGAACGGGGAATACTTGCTCTCAATTTTGATCTTATTTCCATCGGAAGCCAATTTTATGAGACCAATTCTACGGATCTGTGCTAGACTTTTGCATGCCTTATACCAAATGGTATGACGATGATCGTGTGATATTGCTCGTGTAAAAGCAACCTGTGACAGATTTGTTGTGATTTTGCTTGCTCTTCCCTTATCATTTTCCAGCTGACAGCTGCACCTTCGACTTAAAAGATTATTCTAATCAATAACGAGATAAGTGGAACAAACAATCGGAATAATAATATGTAAAACTGATAATGAAACTTGAGGTGTCAATATGTGGATTATTGACTTTCGACTAAGCCGGCTATAAAATTGTACACTTCAATATTTTGGTTATCGTCATCCAAATAAGTTTGTCTGCTAGCAAACCCCATATATAGTTCTACTTATATTGTAATGTATGATCAGGAAATTTACATATTTGAGTTCTGTTGTCATATACATTTTACAAGTTGAAAATAACCTTTGCGCACATCTGTCTCGAATTTCACAGGTATGCATTTTCTATTTGGTTCTTCGAGCTCTTGACACTGTTGGTAAGATTATCTCCTGCTCATTATTAATTTTGATATTCACTGTCTCTGTTGTTAACCATCTTCTTCTTTTTGTTAACCATCTTATTCTTTTTTTCTTCCTATTTTAACAGAGGATGATACAAGCATAAAAACAGAAATCAAAGTACCTATTCTGATGGCTTTCCATCAACACATATATGATCGTGAATGGCATTTTGCCTGTAAGTTTTCAATTCTGCCTGTTGGTTAACCCTCTTGGATACCTCCTTCTTTGCATGTCTTGAGAAATACAGCTACAGTTAGCATAAAAAAAGGGAAACGAAAGAACATAAGTTCAAAAGTTGAATTGTTTAGCATTAACAACTAAGCAATCTAGACAGGTGCTACTTGATAAATCTACTTCCAACACCCTATATCCACCCTTAAGCCAGCAGCCACCATTATCATTTCGAATGGAGAAATATCATAATAAAGTCTTTTGTTATTTCACATAAGAATAGTCTAGATATGACTAAATATGATTACTTTTATTGCTTAACAGGTGGTACAAAGGAATACAAAGTTCTAATGGACGAGTTCCATCATGTTTCCACTGCTTTTCTGGAGCTCGGACGCGGGTATAATTTATTGTTCATGTGATTCTATCAAACTAAATTCATAATATCTGGTATGTATGCAGATTTTGCAATTATTTACTCGGGGTTTTAATTATGGTCTTATGGATGAGTTGAGCTAGGACATACTTATCAACCGTTATTGTAAATATTTTACAAAATGATACTTTTACTGGAGGTTGACTGAAAAGGGTATTATATGAACTAGATTGTGAATAGCATCTCGAAGCAAAAGGATATAAGTTACAGTTTGAAAGTCGATCTAAAGAACATGAAATGTGATAATCAAGAAGTATTCAAGTTTATCTAAATCAAAAGTTGTCAATGCACATGGGTTAATACTAATATTATGAGAAGGCCCATGTAGTGGTATAAACATGGATAACACATCTATTAAATGGCTAGGCCCATCTGAATATATTTTATAGCTAACCAATAAAAGTTAACTGTTGTTCTGAATCATATTTGACTAGGTTGTGGTGCATGAATCTTCGTAATATAATACATGAAGTTACTTTGGTTCATAAAAAATACAATGTATAAAATATGAAGTCTTCTGTTCATGCAAGATAATTCTCATTTCCTCTTTGCAGTTATCAGGAGGCCATTGAGGATATTACCATGAGGATGGGTGCAGGAATGGCAAAATTTATTTGCAAAGAGGTATACTGTATAGATATCACCCCAGTTGCATTTTAGTGCTCTGAACCTCTGACAGAACTGTGAGCGCATGTTATTTCCTGATACTTGTATTTGGGTTTTCATGAGACCTACCGATTAATCTAATAATGTATTTTTAGCTGTTTGTACATGAAAATATTTCCTATATTAAGCAAATAATTGCTCTTTCTGTTGCCATTAAATAAGAACATGATAGATATAATGTGCTAAGATTCTTCTCTCTTGCCAGGTTGAAACAGTTGATGATTATGATGAATATTGCCACTATGTGGCTGGACTTGTTGGATTAGGGTTGTCGAAGCTATTTCATGCTTCTGGAAAAGAACATCTGGCTTCAGATGCTATCTCCAACTCCATGGGTTTGTTTCTTCAGGTATTGGTTCAATTATGTAACGAAAAATACAGCACTTATCTTGGAGATAGATGGATAGATCTCTGAAGATTTGAAACTATATTAACTGTCTTGGATATTTGCAATATTCCAGAAAACAAATATTATCAGAGATTATCTGGAGGACATCAATGAGATACCAAAGTCGCGCATGTTCTGGCCTCGTCAAATCTGGAGTAAATATGTTAACAAACTTGAGGTGCATCATGAATTTAACATATCTTTCCGATAGCAAGTTTGCCTGACATATATATATATATATATATCCAATGTGAATTAAATGGAGCTGGAAGTGTTTTATTGAATGTTTATTTAATATGTCCTCAGGACTTGAAGCATGAGGAAAACTCAGTTAAAGCAGTGCAGTGCTTGAATGACATGGTTACAAATGCTTTAATCCACATAGAAGACTGCCTGAAATACATGTCAGATTTGCGAGATCCAGCTATCTTTCGCTTTTGTGCCATTCCTCAGGTATATAATTTTATGCAGTGTGCTCACATATTAGCCTTTTCAACCATAAATTATATCATCATTATGATTGTTTAGAAAACTTCTAAATAGCATTCTCCTTATGATGGTGGAGGCTGCAAGAGCTACTCTTGAAACTTCCCTTCGATGTACATGCTCAGTTGTTTCACTCATTTTCCTCTTACGGTGGCACAACCGGGATCTTTTCCTAAAGAATTAGCCATCTTGAACTTACTAACTTATGTATGTTGATAATGGCAGCAGCATCTCAGTAATTCTAGGACTTTGATCAAGTGAAAGTTGAACATGGATATAATTATATAAGCCTTCGTAGAACTCAAGAATGTTTAAAAGCCCACTATATCTATTGCCAAATTACATATGATTTCCTTTCAACAGTTTATTTGTCAGGATTCACTAAATTACGTGCAGGATTAGTTATAACATTGCTCAAATGTGTGTTCAATAATAGCAAGGTAAATCTGAGTTTACTTTGTCTAACATTACCAGATAATGGCAATTGGGACGTTAGCTTTGTGCTACAACAACATTGAAGTCTTCAGAGGTGTTGTGAAAATGAGACGAGGTAAGATGAATTGTTCATTTTATTGATAGAGTATGTTCTGTGATCATCCTTTATCTCCTTTTTTTTCTTAATTGTTTAATGTGCATATGGGAACAAGTAGCTCATCAAACTGTATCTCAATTAGCTTTTTGCAACCATCAATATTGCTGGTGGTTACCTGTCCCCTTTAAGTTCCTTTGGACTTCTTCCCTACGGTATTGGTCTTAAGAAGAGCTCATATACAAAAATTACCCTTCAAATAATTTTACTAACTGTTAATGGTAATTTAAATCAAAGTGGGAGTCGGTCATAAATGTTACAGACAAATTTAGGCAACTGTTCCATAATATAATTGACAATCGGTCATCCTACTTCCACCACACCCTTTATGCTATACGCTAGTTGTACACTTCTGTGCTTGATTACATGTTGCCCGTTCTTTGTTTTTTCATGTTCTTTTGTTATTAAGAATCAAAAAGACGATGCTAATTATTTTTAGTTTGTTTTATCTTTCCCAGGTCTTACTGCCAAAATTATCGACAGAACTAAAACAATGTCTGATGTATATGGAGCTTTCTACGACTTTTCTCGTATGCTAAAATATAAGGTATGATGCCTCGTTAGGATCTAAGAAGCTAATTTAGCTGGCAAAATATGCTCAGACTTGGGAATTCTTTACAGGGCTCCAATCTTACGACCATTTTTCCTATACAATTCTGTGAGATATAGTTTTTTCAAGTACAATGCCACATTACATGCATAATCTTACAAAATCTTGGTTCATGTTTCCCTCTTGATCTTAGGTATGTGAAATTGAGAAGTGCAATTCTATCTATGATGTTATTTTCGCGAAATAAATTCACATTTTCAAAGAGAATTTACAGTTATTTTCAGAAAATGTGAAACCATTTTCAAATTGCAACCATATTTTCTTCCAAAAACCTACACATTACTTTCATGAAAAGCTTATTCGGACACATTTAGCTGAAATACTGAATGAATTCCTCTCACTTGCATTTGGTTTGAACTTTGAAGTATTTTGGAGCTAGAAATTTCAAATTCTCAATAACAATTATATTGAGCTTTCTTAAGATAACACAATGTTGCAGTGAATCTCAAATTCTTTAATATTTATTTTCAGCTTCTTTTTTTCAATATTTTGGTCGAGTCAGATACACCTAATATCGAAGTAATTTCATCCCATGTACAACTTATAGTGTGCAATATGTTAGTAAATAGTAGTTTGCCGTTTCATGCACAAGATGCTTATTACTGTATATGTAGTGTTGAGTCGTGAATTTGCATTTACTAATTCAAAAAGGCTTGTTATTTGCTAAAATCGTGTTGTCTCTGGAAATTTGTAGATTGACGACAGTGACCCTAATGCTAGAAAGACGAAGGACAGCTTAGAAGCAGTCCTGAAAATCTGCAGGGACTCTGGAACCTTAAACCAAAGGTAATGTACCTTTCTGAGGTTATCATCTAGAAGCATCTCTTTTATCTATTTTTGACATTTTTCTTTTTCTGCCAGGAAATCTTATATCATTCAGAGCAAGCCACAAATAAATGCAACTGTGGTTAGTTTTGTAAACCTTATTTCCTCGTTTTGTTTTAATTGAATCAATATTTTTTCTAATTATGATATTTATATGCAGATTGTTATCTTCTTCATCATACTAGCCATTCTTCTAGCATACTTGTCGGCAAGCCGGCCATCTAATATCTGTAAGTGTTAGATTGTTATCTAAGACTTGTCATATATAATATATAGATAGATATATATTATATATGTATGTGTGTGTGTCAAAATATATACTTCTAATAGTGTCCAACTCATTCAAGTTTCTTAAGTTAACTACTAGCAAGTGAAACTCAAACTAGCTTTTAAGATTCAATATTTAATCGATTATCGAATACCCTTTCCAGCTATAAATATTAATATTCCTTTCAAAATTCCTCCTCATACTGGTCTCTCCGTCGTTGCAGGAGTGGTCTTTGGATGAGATACTGTCGTGCCGGTAATCGAAAAGCAATATTCTGTTGTTTGTTTATTTGTATCCATCCAGCATTGTATGCCAGATAAGCCACGCAGCATATTCTGTTGTTTATTGGTATCCATCCAGCATTGTATGCCAGATAAGCCACGCTTTTCATTTGTTAAATTAAATAAATGTACATCTATATTTTTTCTTATAATGGTTGTTTTTTCGTTGGATGAATAAAATTAATTAAAAGAGTGAAAAAGAAATACTATATGTAGGTTTTGTTATTAATTATCATTGTTCCTTTCGGCTGCTTCTTAAAATTAGTGTTCCTTTGATTACTTGTTTTTTATTGCATAGTAAACATTTACTAGTGTTTACAGCAAATGCAAAAACAACACATATATATATATATAGATATAGAGATATATATATACATATATATATATATATATATATATATATATATATATATATATATATATATATATATATATATATATATATATATATATATATATATATATATATATATATATATACACACACAATATGTATTCAGTTTCAGCAGATATAAGTTTTAAATTTGTAGCAAAAAATTACTATTATGCATTTAATTAGAATAGTTAAATTTTTATCAATTTGCATAAACTAATTTACTATTATTCATTAATGTTAAATATGAAATGGACAAGTCAACTTAATCATATTTTATTTTTGGCATATCTACTTACCAAATCCATCTACCGGTGGTGTGAATCTGATAATTCACAGCACAAGGAAACTGAAGACAAACTGTGTTACAAGAAAAACAAATGAAAAAACTAACATTTTTCGGGTAAATTAGTTACACGTTTAGATTTCTTTCGATACAATGCAGAATAAACAAATCGAAATGGATAAGGTTTTTTCCAGAAATGCAAGGACAAAAAAATATGATGTTATCAAAATGCAACACAAGAAAAAAGCAGGCAAGGCAATACATAAATCTGCAAAATATGCAATTGGAAATATATAACAGATAGAGCTAGAACGTACTCCTTACTGTGGGGGCCAAAATACAAAACAAATGCGCACACAGAAACTTAAAAGTTTCAGTAAACTTCAGCTACCTTACTTGCAAGAACACGCTCGCGCCTCTCAACGTATCCAAACGGAAACCAACCAGCTCTCCCTCTGCATTCACCTTCTGCCCACCCATTGTTTGAAACCTTCAAAAGTAAGCACAGAGATAATTCGTTTTTTTCAGTCAAACATCCATTACCAAGTTTCATGATATACAGAAACGAGCCATGGCTATAAATACTTTGATACTAACCATGGAAGGCTAAAGCAAAAATAGCATTTATTCACATTTAGTTGATTACTAACTATAAATGTGGTTCGTCTCAAACCAGTGTATTCAGTTTCACAAAAAAAAAAAGGGACCGTAATTATTTCTTTTAATTGCTGCGTGTTGGTATAAAACTATAAATGCATGCAAGTAGATTTGCAACCTGAATTGGGGAAAAAACATGCCAACTTATTAACAAAACTTGAAACTCCTGGGTATAGGTAGAGATTTCGAATAAATACTTAACTTGATCGGAGGAGGTTAGACAAAGTTAAAGTTGCGCATGAACATGTACACATTCGTACAATATACACACACACACACACACACACATCTAGCAAATAATTATATACCAGCAAAAGACGAGACAAAACATGGAAAAGTACTTAAAGGTTAATTGCCAGAAATTAATATTCAATCAAGACTAACAAACCTTTCGAACGACGACATAGTCTCCAACTGACAAACTAAGCTCCAACTCGGATTCAGCTTGATATGAGAAAATAACCTGTTACGAAAACAATCAACAGAAGACAGAATTAAGTAGCGATCATACGAGTAACCCATGCCACCTCAGAAAAACTACTTACCTCCCCAAGAAAGTATCCCATGCTATCTGTTGATCCATTCTGCACTGGTGATGTAGACACACCATTTACTTCTTCATATGATGGAGGTGCAGACGCAGTCTCCATCATTGGAGCAGGAGCTGCTTCAATTCGTTGGCGCTCGTTGGTCATCTGAACATAATATATACCATCATACATTTAGCATACGAAACTAGAAATTATAACAAAAAAAAAAAAAAAAGACTTTTGCTCGTATATGACTGATGAAAACATAACACATACTTCGCTTTCTAGCTGCTCAAGTATTTGAAGAACTCGTTGATGGTAAGCACGCTCAGCTTCAACCTTTGGTCACAGAAGGGATAAGTTAGGCACACTTTCCAAGAATTCTTGAGGGACCCTTTATTTCATTACTTAAAAATGGAGAAAAGATTACCATGGCAATTAGTCGTTGCAGTGTCAACCTCTGTTGTTGACCTTCAACAGCAGCCATAGCAGAAGCAGCTTCTTTCCCCAGAGTGGCCACATTTGACTTCAGATCTTGCAATTTAGCTTCGGCTGCTTCGAGTTTAAAAGCCATGTCTGGATGGCCAGTTCCTTCTCTTACTTTAGCTTGTCTTTTGGCAACTTCAACAGCCTGTCTAGGTTCAACAGTTCGGTAAAAACAGCTAGTGATGGGGCATTAGTTCAAAAAGATACATTTCAATATTAATCCACGAGGATATTTTATAATGCATATGACATCAAGTTAATCACCGCAGAAATAAATTGCAAGTTTACCCAAATACCTGAGCTTCAGCCTCTTGTCGCATCCTATCATATCTTTGAGCGAGATGACGAGCATCTTCTAATGGAGCTCCCATTACCATAGCTCTCAATGGTTCTGCGACCTAGTATATGAGAAGTCGGACCTTTTAACCAAAAGAGCAATCTAAAATATCATTGATACATAAATAGTGAGTAGTGACAATAGCAATATTTTAATTTCTTGAAATAGCTCTCCATAGTGTCCATTATTTAGTACAAACAATGAGAACTTAATCACATCTCTCATCATCTACAGCTAATTTTAAGAAACGGATTCTCGTGAAGCAAAGAAAAAAATTATCATCCAATCGAGGAAAGTATTCTTCTAAATCCATTAATCTCAGCTATGAAATTCTCTAGTTAACATTCATCCTAAAATTAAGACTTAAAGTCTGGCAACATGCAATGTCTAGCAAACCATGGGTTTTATACCCTCACTAGTTATATGATTTCTAGCTGAAGTCCAATTTATGACTGATTGAAACAGGTTGTATGCAATGACAATCATTATTAATTATCTGTTTATCTTCTCAGTTAGTCAAACATCATAGGCAATGTAATCTAGGTGAAGCTGATAAACTAGGGTAAGATAAATCTAGGTGAAGCTGATAAACTAGGGTAAGATAAATTAAAGGGCCAAAAAGTCTAATGAGAAAGAGTTATGACTAACATAGATAACAGCTAGTAATATAATTATATAAATCAATTGAGCTAAAAGCACTTGCCTTCCGCAGAGTTATTCAATCTGATGCAAAAACTGTTTTTAAGACAGAATCAATGACAATCAATATTTTTTTTTACTTTCCTGCTAAAATCCATTCTCTAGTTAATATTAAAAGTTTCTCAAGGGCCATACGCAAGTCATTTTTGCTCAAACTGGATGATGATAAATCTCCTAACAATGGAATCAGTAGAATGAAGATCTCAGTCCAAGCCAGGTTATTTCAGCTAGACAGGTCATAAAATGTGAATCAAGGATTTTCAAGTTTATCCGCAATATTTTTAACACGTCAATTGTCGAAGAAAAGATTAAAAAGTAATTATACATTTTGTTCTGTAGTTTCAGGTGCTAAACCTGACCAATATTCATATTATTTCCTAGTAGAACAATTTTCTCATGCCACAAATTCATCAATCTAGCTGGATCATAAAAGAAAACATTATCAAATGTGCAATCGGATTGATAGCCAAATGCACAGTTGCCACAGCATATCACCAATAAGTACGAAACTGAAATAGAGATGCACATAGGCCCGATATAGAGTAGAAAACTAAAAACCCCAATTTCTTTAACCAACTCTGATGATTCATCAAATATAAATGTTCTTCTTCCCCACTAATAGAACTATTAGGTAATGACACCTAAACAATCAATCAAAGATTCTGTAGGAGTTGAGGAAGCAGAGTGAAACCTGTGTGCCAAAGGCTTTCAAGAGGTTTCCACGTTCTTTCTCCATTTGAGCACGAGCTCGTGCAAAATTTGATGCAGCTTTTGATAGTGTGCTGCCACTGGTACATGTACTTTCAGTACCATACTTTCTGCTATCTTCTGACAATTTAGTTCCTGAATGGAAACAAAAAAAGAAAGAAAAAAGAAAGAAAAAAAAAAAGAAAAAAAAAAGAAAAAAGAATTTACAAAGGAATCAACATCCTTGCACTTGACAGATTCATCAAGTATAAAGATAGACTAAAAATGTTCAGTGGCTAACCAATCTCAACTTGTTTGGACCCTGTAACTATATATCCTTCAACACCACGAACTATGTCCCTTTGGAAATGCTGAATATTAGAAAGGAAAATAAAAACTCTAATCAGAATGCATAAATAACACATAATTTCACGACACACTAACTACATAGACTAACGGAATTCAGAAATCGCAGACCAATGAGCTGAGTGTGTGAGTGTGTCATATAAACCTGAACCTCTCACCCCCAAACACACACACACACGGGGTAGTGAAAATGAGATTTAATTAGGCAAAGTAACCTTGGCACCACGAGTGGATATGTATAGATGTTCAAGTTTCTGGTGCTGCAGAAGTTCAGCATCATCAGGCACAACACTATCTGAACCTCCATATCCACCAAACTGCTTTAGCACAGCCTGAATTGAAAACAATAACAAAGCACTAATTTAACAGATAAAAAGATAATCACATCAGGAAACATATAAATGAAAAGGTGCAGCTAAAGACCAAAAAATATAACACATAACACATGAGTAATAAATTCAACTCGAATGTATGTAAGAGGTCCTGTATTCTCAGTAATCCACAAAGGCATCAAACAGCAGAAACACATGTTTACACGTAGATTAGCAGCCGAATTGATTCAATTTCATGCTTGATTATCAACTCAGACATTCATATTTCCTAACCTAAAAGCTCCCGCAGACAAACAAACCAAAAAGCATGTTAGAATCTGAAATTCGCACTAATAAGCTAAACAAATTACCCACTAAAATCGCATCACTAATCGGACAAAACCTAATACCAAATTTTAAGCTGCCGATACAAAACCTAAAAGACGAAGGCGATTGTGCACAAAAAGCAACATCGCTGAATTTCAAATCCAAATGGCGGAACAAAAAAATAATTTCAGCTTCCACGCAACGAGATATTCCACAATTGATTGATCAATAATTCACACAGATCCAAAAACAATCGCCAAATGTTCCACTGATTTGACTGATTCCGCGAATTTCCTCATTCAGAAACGCAATCACATTAAAAAAATACAAATCTACGTACGCATAGAGTGAGAGAGTACCTGCTGTTGCCTGGCGACTTGCTCTCTGAGTCTAGACGCTTGTTTTCTGATGGCTTCCATTCACGAATCGATCAAACAGCTTACGCGTTTGCAGAAATATAATTTAACTCGGAGAAGAACACGCAATATATGTGATTGATTATGTGTTGGAGCGAAGAACCGAATAGGAGTAGTCGCTCCTCGAAATGAATTTAATTTGATTTTTTTTTAAAAAAAATTTTTACATTAATTTAATTTGATTTTTGGATTGGTGATTTTGAATATTTGGTTGGTTCTCTTCTCTGAGGGAAAAAAATGAAGAAAGGCACTTGTTACGACTGGTAAATGTCTAAAAATAATAAAATATTACTATAATTTAAATTATATTGAATAAAATCATCCCAGCACTTTAAAAATATATGGTTTTATATTGACAACAACCGGCCACAAAAACTAGTCGTTGAATTAAATCTTATATCAAGTTGTCACAATGTTTAATTGGAAAAAATCACAATTCAATGATTTTATTGATCAAATGCTATCGAGAAGTACTTCTAATTTGATAAAAAAAAATTGAATATAGAAAAATCAAGTCCCATTTCGTTATCAGATTTAAAAAAAAAAAAAATGAATCTTACATTTAAATAAAATAAAAACAGTTGAATTAAAAAGCATTTGAGTTCTATTGGAATGAACTAGTCCAGTACTGAATAAATTTATTTTTATGAATTGAGAATTATTAAAGACTGAATCCAAATGAGACCAATTCAAGCACAATCGACATTTTCAACTTGTATTTTCAAAATGGCGATATAAGTTTTGATGGGCGCTAATTTGGCAAGGTCGAGCCAACAAGCTCAAAACGTACGTCGGAGACGTGCTCTCGATTCAATATATATTCCTTGTTTACATATTTGTTTATTAAAAATATTGTTGAATAATAGATATTTAGAAATAAATGATTCAATTAGAAACATTTGTGATTACTATTGAAATTAATGAGTCTAATATCTCAATATAAATAAGGAATTAAACAAGTCCAATCCGATCGTGTATGGTGCAGACATTGCAGCTGACGGCGCAGATGAAAATGATGCAAGATAAGATATACAATCTGTTTATTTTAATGAAGAATTGAATCATTAATTAATGTGTACGGTCAAATTTCGTCGAACAGAAGCTGCAGTTACGGATCCCTAAACGCCACCCGAGCAAAAGGAAAGGTTCTTCTTTTGTTTCGAAACACGAACACAAAGGTTTGCGATTGCAGCTTCAGAGATCAGTGAAAGAAGTTAAGGGTATTGGAGTAATTTAAAGAATCGTTCACTAAGGACTCGTTTGGTTGGACGGATATGCCACGATTAGTTAACTACTCCGCCACCACCTAGTACTTGATCAGTCCAATAATTTTTCGAGTCGACCGATAAATTTTGCTCTTATCAAACCTTATCTTAGACGACTATTGGGTAATCGTATTAAGGGGATATCCAACTATACAAGTGATCCTTATTTAAATTGTAAACATCTACATTATCTTGATTAATATTTAATCCCAATATCTTGTGTTGTTAATCCACTTTTAGTAACCAAACGAGGCCTAATACTTCAATTTAGTAACTCAGTTACTCATATCGAAAACAGCCTCTACGATGGATGAATATGGACAGGTGGCAGTTGCAGAAGCAGCTCCACACAAGCAAGCGGACCCCTTCGACTACGACGGGGCCCACGTGGACCCCAATAGAGCCACCGACCCAGGCCTAGTAAACAATATCAACACGAAAGACCAAGCAAGATTCTTTTGTACGATGGGATATAACGAAACTGCCATCGCATCACTAACAAGAACAAATGCATCACCTGCATTGTGCCAAAAAACGAAGAAGTTCTTAGCAAACTATAATCTGCCCTCGGTCATCATTCCTGAGCTTGAGAATTGTGTCTAATGTGGGCCCCGCTTTGTCGATTTATACGGCTAGAATCGAAGCACCTTCTGGCACAGATGCAATTGTGGAACCTTCGATTCTTGTTTATAATTCCGGTGTGAAGAAAATTAAGTCTAAGGTGTGAAGTTTCGGTCGAGATTAAAGTGCAAGGGAGTTACTCGTTTCGGAGGATGTTGTGAAGATTCCGTTGATTGTTCGATCAGTTGTTAGAGAATATTACGGTTGAATGTTCTTCATGTGCGTTTTGGTCTAAATTGTATAGACATTATAATAGTTGATTAAGTACTGCTCCTAACAAATTGCAGAGTAATTTTCAACAAAATTCCCAAATTCCTACAATTTAACAAATTTTCTTCTTTTCAATTTTGTAGATTGTGTTACATTTTTTCCGAATTTTATCAACTAGGAAGCCGCAATAAATTAAATAGACGACGATTATCTTGATTTTCAGATAGTTTTTTGTTTTCTTGAAAAAAATATTTGATTATTCTGATTTTTTTTGGTTGAGAGTTTAAGAGAAACTAATGTTTTAAGACATAAGAAAAATATTAAATTGATGATGCTAAAATATTTAGATCACCTGGGGTAGTATAGAAAACGAACTGGGAGAGCAAAGCAGATCAGTAGCTTGACAACTTGATGATCCTGAGGTACCTGCGATCATAGAACACATAAGCTAAGCCGGGGGTTGATCCGGCGGAAACCCCTCCGACGCTCAAGTCAGACGTGCTGATCATAGAAATGGTCCAGAGAATACGTATTGTAGTATTGCTCAGTTAATAGGACGTACCTTAATAAAATGAGTAAAACCTCTATTTATATGTCGTTTATTGGGTTGGGTTTGCTTTGTTGGGCCCAAGCCTTACTTGAAGGTGTTTGGGCATCGGTGATATTGGTCTTCGATATTGGGCTCGTAGCCCAGTAGGTAAAGAAATTGTAGGCCCATTGGGTTGGCCCAATTAGGCATATCATTAAGCCCCCCACTCTCGAGTCGATGTGGGGGCCATGTTGTGATGGGTCTCAGATCGTGTCGAGAGTAAAAATTGTAGAAGTCGATCGTTGGCGTGTGGCCTAATGGTATGCGAAAACGCGTTGGAGAGCAAAATGATGATGCTAAAATATTTAGATCACCTGGGGTAGTATAGAAAACGAACTGGGAGAGCAAAGCAGATCAGTAGCTTGACAACTTGATGATCCTGAGGTACCTGCGATCATAGAACACATAAGCTAAGCCGGGGGTTGATCCGGCGGAAACCCCTCCGACGCTCAAGTCAGACGTGCTGATCATAGAAATGGTCCAGAGAATACGTATTGTAGTATTGCTCAGTTAATAGGACGTACCTTAATAAAATGAGTAAAACCTCTATTTATATGTCGTTTATTGGGTTGGGTTTGCTTTGTTGGGCCCAAGCCTTACTTGAAGGTGTTTGGGCATCGGTGATATTGGTCTTCGATATTGGGCTCGTAGCCCAGTAAGTAAAGAAATTGTAGGCCCATTGGGTTGGCCCAATTAGGCATATCATAAATATTGAAACTACTCTATGATCTATCAACTTTCACTATGCGAATATCATTTCAGTTAGAATACATGTACGTTTAATTGAACTAATAATTTAAATAAACAAGTTGTGGACGTAAGCGGTAAACAATTCTTATGGAAAATTAAACTTCGAGCACGATTAACTGAGACTCCTGTGTATAAAATGAACCTAAAATTCATTGAAAATAAAAGAGGGAGTAAAACAAAACTACTCCGTGTAGAATTTTCTGCGGGGAAAATACTAATTTCATCCCTCAAGTTTGCACTAATTTCACATTCGGTTCTCCATGTTCGTAAAAAGTACATTTAGTCTCTTATGTTTCAAAAATTCAACACGCATTTTCATCAATTTTTCGTTACTAATAACGGGAATCAAGCATGTGTTCAACTCCGTTTAAACAGACGGACTAACGGTAAATAGACGGAAATAACAAAAAATGTTGAATTATTGAAATATAAGGGGAACTAAATGTATTTTCTACAAACACGAGGACCAAATGTGGAATTAGTGCAAACTTGAGGGATGAAAACATAAATTCTTCCAATTATCCGCACATCTGCTTGTTACAACGTTGTAATTTCTTGATTCTAGTGGTGGCCAGCTGGCGTGATGTTTGAAGAAAAATCAATTGGGTAGGCAGGGGAAGAAAACGCAGCCCACCCATAGTGCGTGTTTGATTTGTTGTAATATACTCCAATATTAATTATTATGCTATATAGTATATAGTGTGATGTGTTTTCTTTTAACCAACGTGTATGCCACTTGATCCAATAAGTTTTTTACGCCACTGAAAATGTAGCCAATGCCGGCAGCCGATCACGCGCCTCAACACTGCTTGAAAAGACAGCCCCCCCATACGCCGATTCCACGTGTCAAGCAAAAACGACACTGCATTGTGGATATGCACAAATATTATTCGTGCATTGTACTGCAGACATGGGTTGAAATCCGACGAACTAAATTGGGAATATTATTTCAATTTCATTTCAAAATTAAAAAATGAAACTAATTTCAATTGGGATAATTACAGGTTTCATCCATTAAATTTGCACCGATATCATATTTGGTCCGTATTATGTTAAAAAAGACATATTTGGTCCTTTATGTTTCAATATCTAACATTTTTTGTCATTTCGGTCACTTTATCATTAGTAAGTTAGCTACACGTTTGATTCTATTAGTTTTAATGAAAATATGACACAAAAGACTAAAAATATTGAATTTTTGAAACATGATGGATCAAATATATTTTTTGTGAAGATGAGGGACCGAATATGGAATTAGTGAAAACTTTGGGGATGAAAACTGTATTTTTTCCAATTTCAATTCATCAAAAAAAAAAAAAGAATGGAAACGAATTTATTAAATTAGAAATGAAAAATAATTCCGAAAAATTGGGTTTTTTTGTGTGGGTAATTTGTAAATTCTATTTTTTCAATTTACCTATAATATATATATAAACTACATAATATTTTTTTATTGTAATTAGTAACTGTGGGAAAAAAGTTAAAAACTATCAGATCTTATTATCTTTAAGATTTATGTTTGTCGATATACTAATATTTAATATTATTCTTATATTGTAACTATGAAGAACATGATACTTATAACATATTTTTAATATTGTTGGTCGATGACGTTTTGTACTTAAATTAATGAGAGTAATAATTGGTATCTGCGTAAATTTGTTTTACAGAAATGTATTTTCAGTTGAAAATATGCCGCCCCGTGCATCGCACGGGTGAACACTAGTTATTTCAAAAATAAAAATCGAATTAAAATTTAAATACCATATATTATTTCCAATTCAAATAAAAAAAAAAAAAAAAAAAAAAGAATTATACATGTGTTTTGGGCCTAGTGGGTCGAAGATTTTTCTTACCCCACCTACAATGCGAGCCCAAAGTGGAACCGGCCTACGCCACTTGGACGCCGCACTAAAATCTAAAAGCGGGAAGAATTTTTAGGAACAACCAAAAGGGGCGGCGCGATGGACGCGGCAAAGCTTTCTATATTTTGTTAGTATTATCCAATCTTTTAATTTTGAATTTTGAATAAAAATTAAAGTAAATAAAATATCAAAACGGAAAAAAGAACCACACTAAAGTTTTGGCGGTTTTAGTGGCCGATCCGTTTTCTTCTACGGTTTAAATTATCAAATTATATTCTTAGCGCCATTTATAGTAAGAGACTTTCTCAAAGGCATTATTAAATCAAATAAATAGTTATTTTTTATGACAAGTGTTACTCCTCAGTCCTCATTTATGTTTGCAGAGATAAATTCATTTAAAAAATATTATTTTTTTTTCTCGTCAAATAAAATATTTAAGTAAAATTGATCCAATTATGTGCAGATCAACGATAATAATACACCGAATGGATAGATAAATCAGTAATATAATTAACAATTAACCACCTATCTAATTTTCTCCATCCAATAGCCAACGCGGTTAAGTAAAGACAAGCTGTCATTCGAGAATTTATTACAATTTCCATTTTTCTCGTTCTCAATTTTGACTAACATTAACCAATAACATTTTTATTTTTATTTTTATTAAAAAAAAAGAAAAAAAAAAAAGCTGGTCAATGAAGAAACGTTGTGGAAACTGTGGATCCGGTCTAAGAAACGAATAGTCAACCATCCGTTCACTCATCAAAAATCTCGCTCAAGAGTTAATTATGCAGTGCGTTACAACTCACACCACCATTATAACACATCACACCACTCTCTCTCCCAACACAAATAAATAAATAAATAAAGTTAAAAAAGAAAAAGAAAAAGAAAAAAGAAAAAAAAACCACCAACATACCCACCAATTTCGCCCACGAACAATCTTCGTTTCAGTCTTTCCATTCACCCACATATTTTCTTCTTTACCTTTTTTATTCTCTCTCCATCCCCTGTTTTTTCCTTTTTTTTTTTTTCAATTAAATTATTCAGGTATTTATATACGCATGCATAAATAATTGTTTATGTTTATGATTTTGTTTTTGTTGTTGTTGTTGTTTAATGAGGATGAATAATTGTATTTGGATTAATTTTTTAAAATTTGAATTAGGTTTTCAGTGAGTTGTTGGAGTTTTGGGGGTTTTGAAATATGGAGTGCATTGAAGCAAGAGCGCTGAAATCAAGTTTCCTCTCGCAAATGGCCATGAAAGCGAATTCGCAGGTTTTTTACAACGACGACGTTTGGTGTTTGACCGGAATAAACAGCGGCGGCGGCGCCGCCGACGATTTCCCCGACGTTGATGAACTTCTCAACCTCGACTTTCCCGAGAAGGAGTTTCAGGAGGTACTGTGTTTCTCTCAGGAAGATGATGACGTCACGCATAAGGAAGGCTCGCATCATTCCTCAACCTCCACTTTTTCCGGCGCCGATGATTTTGATAGCCTCTCCGCCGGCGAACTCCCCGTTCCGGTAATTATTCATTTTCAGAGCAAAATAAAAAAACAAAAAAAATTAATTTCATCGGTTTTTTCTAATGGCGATTTATGTATTTTGATTGCAGTCTGATGACTTGGAGAATCTAGAGTGGCTATCACAATTTGTCGACGACACTACTTCGTCGGGGCTCTCTTTACTCTGCCCCGCCGGAAGTTTCACGGAGAGAGCTGAACCGAATTTTGCTAACCGAGTCGTAACAGTCAACAGACCGTTACGGAAAATCCAGGCTCCGTTTCTTCTCACGCCGATTCCGGTTAAAGCCAGAAGCAAAAGGTCTAGGTCAAACGGACGGCCGTGGTCTTTGTCTTCGCCGCCGTTAAGCTCCGGCGACTCCTCCTCAACGACGTCGTCTTCCTACGGCTCTTCCATCCTGTCTCCTTTTCTGTTCACAACCCCTGTTCGTGAGACGGAGTGGTTTTCGACCGGCGAAAAACCGGCGAAGAAGCTGAAGAGAAAACCGGCGGAAACCGAAACCGGTTCAATATCGGGCCGTAGGTGTACCCACTGTCAGGTTCAGAAGACCCCACAGTGGCGAACCGGTCCATTAGGCCCGAAAACTCTGTGTAACGCGTGTGGTGTCCGGTTCAAATCCGGTCGGCTTTTCCCAGAGTATAGACCGGCGTTTAGCCCTACGTTTTCGCATGAAGTGCATTCAAATAGCCATAGGAAAGTTTTGGAGATGCGCCGGAGAAAGGAGACGGTCGAGTTTCCCGAACCGGGTTCGCCTCTTATGGTACAGAGCTTATGAGCTTTTTAGATTAGCTCTAACTTTAAACCGGGTTTACGAAAACCGGCGGCTGCTGAATTGTTCAATTTTGGTTGTCGAGATTGTAGGGTCAGAGGCTGGTAGCCATAGATATAAATAGGGAGGAGGTTATGAACTTAAATTCTTTTTTTATTGTAATTCAATCTATTTTGCAGTCAGAAACATAAACTACTATGTTTTATTAAAAGGATAAAAGAATTGTTTCATCAATATTAAATTGACAACAATTATATATATAAAAGAAACATTTAATAAATTCTGGTAAAATCTGATAAAAGAATTGTTTCATCAATAATTGACAATTAGGTGGGGGCAAAAATGTTATAATAGAGCCATAAATTTTGGCGTGCATTTTGTTTGAAAGTCAAAGTTAGTAGTGAGTTTGAAGAAATCAAAGCAGTTGAACGGTTTGTGATTGAGTTGTCACTCAAAAGCCATAACCAATCACGGGGGAGCTTTTGCTTTTGTTTTGGGCTCGGTGGCGGCTGTTAATTTACCTTTTTACCCACACAAAATTCATTAGTTGCATTGGAAGACCAACAAAAAAATATCATGGATGGATGGGAATGGGCCCATTTTGGAATCCACGTCATTAGGTGGGTGTGGAGCCCACAGTTGTGTGGCCTTATGAAATGTCAAATTACCCAATATACTATTAAATTTTGGGTAAATTACGAAAAACCCCTGAACTTAGATTAAATAACAAAAAACACCCCACCTATATAATTAAAATCCCACTCTAATTAATTGTTGATCGAGTTTTTTAACAAAAAATGTAAACAGTCTATTGTACGGGTGCGGAACTATCAAGTTCAATTTAAGTATCCTTTTAATTAATTACAGATATTCTTAGAGTCTCATACGAGATCCAACAAATTTGTGTTGTGTTCCATGCAAGCAGTAAAAGAGAGCACGAGAAGAATAAACACGAAATCTGCAACGCAATAATATGAAGCAAAATTGCATATAGGTCGAAAGAAACAGCCGCCAAAGTGCAAAGATTTTCATTTTTTTTCCAGATTTCAAATGCCTAGACTGAAAAAAACTAAAGTCAAATTATGAAATAAAAGTCTGTAACATCTATGGAGCAAAGAGGAGCTACAAATCTCCAACTCAACTATGCATATAATCACACCGTGACCCCTTCTTACATCTCCCATTCAAATTAAACGGACAAAGTGTGTCCCTTTTACTTCTAGAACCTCCACCTCCACCACCACCACCACCAAAAGACGACTGCCTATTCCAAGGCCCCCTTTGGCCCCCCATAAACTGACCACCACTAGGCATTTGTTCACCACCCCACGAACCCTGGTTACCAGCCTGTGGTCCACCCCAACCTTGGTTAACCGCAGGAGGGGGCGGCGGCCCCACATTTCCACCAGGCGGCGCCCATCCATTCCCAGGTACCGGCCCTCCTTGAACTGGTGGGGCCCCCCACCCTTGAGCTGGGGCCCCCCACCCTTGAATGTTAGCAGCTGCAGCATTTCCTGCAGGAGGAGCAACATAGCTGCCAGGTTGAGGCACCGGCACTTGCATGGCTGGCATCCAGTTTGCGTTTGCATTTACTGGTGCTGGATTCACCCACCCCATGTTTGGATTAGCTTGCATCGTATTTGTACCGCCCCACCCCATGTTGGGATTTTCAGGCCTCACTCCAATAGATGCATTTGGCGTCGTAGGAGGGATCATATTCGGTACACTACCCTGAGTAGGAGGGATCATATTCGGTACACTACCCTGAGTAGGTCTCCACATATCTTGTTGAATCCCAACCGTCGAACCTGAGTTCTGGAAACTTCCGGAAGGATTCTGAACGTTCGATGGTGTGCCCCAATTGTAAGCCTGTACTTGTCCAGACTGCCCCCAGCCTTGAGTAGTAGTAGTATCTGTTTGAAGATTCTGACTCATAATCATATTCTGAGGTGGCTGATGATTACTACCTTGCATGGGAACTTCATGTTGTTCAGTAACCGTAGTTGAGTGACTATGTCGAGAAACTGCAGAAGAACCACCCAATTGTGAGTTTGGCGTTGGACTAAAAGTAGCAGTTTCGATAATAGCACTCAAAACCGATGCTGGAGTAGAAGAGTGGGTCCCGATTATAGGAGATGGAACAGCTCCATTGATGAGATGGCCCCTTTGTGTGGGTGTAGGAGAAGGCATGTTTGTCATATCATTCACAGCCCACTTTTCAGCAGAAGTTTTCGAGCGGGGCCCGGAATTTTGATTATCTTGGTTCAAGAATGTTCCGGATGTTTTACCAGAATGACCGGCCAATTTATCTGCTTGAGATATTATATTGCCAGCTGTCGCCGATGGTATAGGAAATTTGCCAGCCAATGCATCGGCAAGAAGTACGGAGTTGTCTTGATTATCTGTGTTTCTCCAGATTTGTAGGCCAGTAGGAAAATAACCAGTGTTGTTCCATTTGCGCAACTGCACCATAGAAAAGGGTCCTTGCACTTTGCCAGAGGGATCTTTATAATGCCACATCTTTTCCGACTCGTTTATCTTGACAGCAGCAGTTTCCAGTACCGCAGATGACAGAGATGCTTGTGAGATAACTGATGTAACACCGCCATATGATTCGGGATAAGTAGGGGCGTTCAGCTTTTCTGAATAGTTGGATTCTTGTTTCTCCTTTTCTCTTTCTAAATTCCAAGAATTTTCATTTGCTATTTCGCTAATATGACTAGCGTTGACAGAGAAGTTATTGCCAGGTGAAGCTCTACTCAATTCCGAATTTTTATTAGTAATGTTTCCTGGGCTGCTCCAAGAATCTTTAACGGAATGTTCACTTCCAGGGGAGATTGGGCCTCTTCCTCTCCTGCTAAAACCAGAACCTCTAGATCTCATGAAAGCCTCTGTATGCAATAAAATAATTTACGATTAGGGTTAAATTAAATATGAATACAGCTTTGAAAGCAAAATCTGATGATATGAAGGAAACCTCGTCTATTATTTTCGTTTTCACTGTTGTCTTCGGATTCGTAACTTGGATCCATCTTAGGATCGGAGTGAATTTTGGGAGTTTCCTCTAGTCTACGCCGACGCTCTTCTGGGGTCTTTAAAAGCTGTAATTTCTCGACACATTCTCTAAGCGTAAAAATTCGAGTCAAGGATAACCACCTCTTTTTCAAGAAATAAAACAGCGTAAAGCACACATTCACTAATATTAGATGGCTTATATTAGATAGTAATAATAAAACCACATGCCAAAGATCAATACTTGAAGTGCATGGGAAATGTCCGTCTAATATTAATAACTATTGGACTTTATTATGAGTACTTTAGCAACAACTCGATGAAACAGAAAACAAACCAGCATATAATTAAGATATTGCATCCCCATTTTGGTTCATACGAAGGAAAAAACGTGTAATTTGCGAGGAGAAGAAAAAGAAAATGTGTTATATCAGTGGGTTCACAAGCAATTTATGTTTATTTAAATCAAACGGCAGAAAAAGGATATTCCTTCCGACGGCCTAAATCACTTGCACGATCACGGAGATGACTAAGCCGTAGAACCTCTGCTTCCAGCCACTGCACATCGATAGCACCATAAGAAGATATACATAATATGAATATTCATCAATTAGAACATTATTTCCATCAGCTAGTTTATCAACTCATACATATTTCCATCAGTAACTCCAATTTTAACCATCAGGAAAGGAACAAGAAGACAGCCTTTTAGATTGGGCAAGCAACCATTTTTATGAGTTAGCCTCATTTGTTTTCAGCTAATCAAAATGGACTCAACAGTAGTGGATTATATAACCCACTTCAAATATATAGTCAATGGAATGACATTAAACACGTTAGGGTGAAAAGTGAACATACATCATTGACTCTAGCTGTCTGTATTTCCGTGGTCTTGTCAAGAATCTCACCCTACAAACCACGAATGTTGATTCATGTAAGAGAAAATCCAAGTGCTAGTCAAGAATCTCACACTAAAATGTATAATACAGAAGCTTGTGAAAGTATGTGTATAGTTACCACAGTCAGCGGGCTGAGAAGTCTACACTTTATACTCTGGCGAAGACGCGTGCATTCCTCCTGTAGAAAGAAAGTGAAGATATGTGATTAAGTTAAAAAAACTACCAAGGATTTATATCGATGTTTTCATACCCAACAGAACACATACATGCAAACAAAAAAAAAGTCTATAAAGAGCATTGACTAAGTTCATTTGGTACCATTGTCATCATAAACATCTAGGAAAGAAAACTAAAAATAGAAATTCATAATTACAGAAGTAACCTTTAGCACAACAAATTAAAATCACAAAAAGGCTGCTTGCCACTACATATCAAATATGTTGCATCGCATGAGCTCTTAATTTTCTTAAATTGCATTTCAGTGTAGCTTGCGTACAAGGAGCCTCTTAATAATTTATCCCTACAACCAAGGTGACTCAAGCAAAACAGCTGAGTACTATCAATTAGCTTTGATAATTATCAATCTATTACTTTTTCTTTTCCTTTTTTTGTTTTTCAGTTTTAGCAAAGGCTAGAAGAGCTGGTGGACTAACTGGGGAGAGAATATATGACAATGGAACTATTGTCCTAGTGGAGAAGAGGGACCTATTTGTTAAATTCATTCACCTCTGTGAACTCTTGATTTGAGATTGTATCAATTGATATGATCTCAGTTTTGTCTAGGTTTAGTATCTCCACCATAGTATCAGTACTCTTTTTGCCAATTTTGTACGGCTCTGGTGCTTTGCTTGTGCCTGTAAACAAAATAAAAAAAACCCATATTAACTTTTTTTTTTACGTGGAGGTGGTGGGCAGGTACTGCAACTACAAATTTTTTAACATTAGTAAAATAATGAAGAAAGTTCTTACCTACAACTTGAACTAATCTGTACATGTCTTGCTTTTGGGTACTACCAGATATCCTTATTCGTACAAAAGTTCCTACAGCTTTATCATGGAATGTCTCGTCGTCTTCAAGTAGGTCCTCAATCAACTTTCTACGTAAGTAAATTAAACCAATATTGTGCATGTCTATAGCTGCATAATCATCAAGGTTAGACTGAGGCCCCCGACTGTCACCTTTTCTCCGTGGTTTACGTTTCTTATCTTTCACACCCTTGGTCAGGGGTTCACCACTGCCATCAATATCTAACAGGCTATTTTCAGTGTCAACAACACTCCCTTGCAAATCATCATTATGTTCATCTCTAACGAAGAAATGGGATTCAAGAAGTTTTAACATTTCAAAATGTCCTACTCGAGATTTCCCAAATAAATTTTCAAGCCTTCCATCACAAACAATTTGACTTTTCTTACGAGGATCGCGTAGCTTGTTTCTTTGGATATACTCGAGCAAAAGAGCTTGCACATCAAACTGGGAAAGTATGGACGTGTCACCATCTTTCATGTGTGAAACAAATTCAAGTAGCTCCTTTGATGCCCACTCAGAGTTGTCAGATAAATTATTAGCTTTGTCTCCAGCTGCAGTACTGGTACTGACTGAACCCTCTCCTTTTGAGCGAGATTTTGATTGTTTCCTTATCTTTCTTCTTTTAGGTCTGACAGTTTCTAATTTCTCAATAGAATCTTCCGAACCAGATCCTCCATCATTACCATCAGCTTGTGCTTCAGATGATTCTTGTTTGCTGGGACCAGACATGTCCGCTCCCTTCCACGGATTTTTAGCCTGTGCAATATCATCTGATGAAAGTGAGAGCTTAGCTTTTAATTCTGTATAATAATCCTTGAAGAGAAACTCCCAACTACTTTTGTCATCAAAATCTATTTGATCCTGCAGCGGTCAAAAGAGCACCACGAAAATGATCAGAAGAATGTCAGAAGTTTAATTAATTAAACAATCGGAAAGACTTAAGTAACACCTCATTTAAATGTATACTTTGTCTAGCAACCAGATGTTAAAGTTAACGGACCAGGTTGAGACTACAACAAAAAAGAAGTGAGAAACTAAAATTGCAAAAAAAAAATAGCAAAAACAATATCACCATGATATCATTTTATTGGAAGCAGACTAATATATCAACTAAAGAAGAGTACAGAATAAACACAGGGATGGCCGATTCCTGATTCAGTATTCTACTCTAAATTACGCCAATTTGAGAGCACAAAAAGTACTCAATAGATTCTCGCAAAAAGATATAAATTTAGTCAACTTTTTGGCTTATCATTTGTGTAATCTATATATTGCCATAAGAACTAAATTCATATAACAAAAAATGTTGAAGAACTACAAGTTCATCATAGTGAGACAAACCAAACTTATTGAAAGCAAGTTGGCAAGTGTATAAGGATATACATGATAAAATAAATATTTACGAGAAAGAGAAGTAAAATCTTAGACATGATTACAAGGGAAAGTAATAGCCCACTATTTTGTTCATCCTTATCCACAGAAGTAGATAGTGCATGACATGCAATAGCCATAACTTCTTTCGTACAGATAACGTATATTGCAAGCAATCAACGTTTCTTGCACATGGCTTCATAAAGTTGAGCATAATAGACAATATTCATAGAAGAAAACTATAAATCACCAGGATCATGAGCATGAAAGACATCCATGAAAGGCAAAGTTTCTCAAGCAAAATTATTAACTTAGGCCACAGTCCACAACTCAAATATAAAAAACATGTAATGGCCAGTTCTAAAATCTACTAATTCTCGATTCTTGAGTTAGTATTGACAGTACAAATAAAACATGCATTAACCATATACCAGAACACAATGATATTCCAATTTGAACCAGAAAGTGTCATTGCCCATTGAATGGCATCATAGGTCTCAAACAAAATACACTCAAAGATGAAATTGGACAACTGAAACGACCATGCATAAGAATAACTATAACCTGGTTGGTCACGAATAATCTAAAATGGTAATATATAATGTTTCGTCACATGTCATTAGTACCCAAACCAGGTCAAGAGTACAAAGAAAAGGATGGCCAGAGAGAAACACTCACATCTTTGTCTCCCTGTTCATTGCTCTCAATCAGCATAACAGTTCTCATGCAGGTTTCACAAAAACCTTTATTTCCTTGGATACATAAGATAACCGCATCTTTGGTGCAACTCTTGCATAAGGAGAAAGTACATGTATAACACATGTAGCGCGCATTTTTCTCGCAAATGCTACATAAATGCCAACCTGAAAACAAGAAATATTAAATCTTCGTAACAGTGCATAACACTTCATAGACTCATCAAAACTTCATATAAAGATACACAAACCGAGTCAATCACATGACAACATTGAAATGGGAGGCAAGGCACAGAGAAAATATAATTGACTCATTTCGTATCAAAAGTAGCCATACTAGATCACGTGAGAAAAATTAGATGCATGCAGTAAGAACAAAGATCATCTAAAACATCCATATAGCAAAAGGGAGAAAACAATTTTCAGTGTGCAGTAAGTGAATACAAACAAAATTAAAAGGGATTATCAGCAGAAGCACCTTCACAACCAAGCACTTGCAATTCTATAAACGTCAATAAATTATCATCAAATTTGTCCATGCATTTTTGGAGATATAGAGAAAGGCTTACCGCAGTTCCAGCGACCCTTAGATTTGAAAAATGCTTCATCTCGATTGACACACGAAGGATGATAGGCCTTAGGGCAACCTCTGAAACCAATAAAACACACTCAACATATTAGCACAGTACACCAAATATGGCCACAAGAATTCTTTGAAGACGAAAGTCAAACTTTTTATTTACATTTATTATCGGTAAAAAACTGGAAAGTTCACCTTCCATATCTCCAAAAACTTACCTACGGTCACATAACACGAGTTCCCCACCGTCAAAGCAAATGAAACAAACATCCTCTCCCACCGTCTTCCTCGATGAAGCTTTTGGTGTGGCCTTAGAAATTGGTGTACTTTTTGATAACTTGTTTCTCTTACGCTTCCCTCCAGATGTTTTCTCTGCTTCGGCAATATCTGTTTCAGTCTCTATTTCAGTATCATGTGCGCCTGCATCTTCCTCAGCAGGCATTGTGTCATCTTCCTCAGCAGCCATTGTGTCATCTTCCTCATCTTGCAGAGCAGCTGGTGAATCATAAATGTCTTGACCAGTCTCATCCACGTCACTTGTTGTTTCCTCAGTCTCCATTTTGCCATCATCGTCTTGGATTTCATCAGCCATCACCTCCGATCCCATTTGTTCCTCGGTCTCCATTTTGCCATCCTCATCGTCTGGAATTTGATCAGCCATCACCTCAGATCCCATTTGTTCCTCAGTCTCCATTTTGCCATCCTCGTCGTCTGGAATTCGATCAGCCATCACCTCAGATTCCATTTCGGTTTCTACTTCATGACCTTCCAACTGAATCTCCTCCTCCACTACAACCTTCCTTGTCGACTCTAATTCCTCTAACGCCTCTGTTTCTGTTTTAATATCCCCCGAAGAAGGTTCTTCTTTAACTATTGTATCCTCATTTTCTGCCACAGTCAGAGATTCATCCAACTCGGAATTACTTGACATCAAACTCTCCTCAACAGCCACCTCTTTATCCACAGCATGATCATAACTCACGTCACAACTAACAAATTCCTTAACTCCAGTTGATTCGTTAACCTGCTCTTGTTCAGTGGTGTTACCTATAAATGTATTAATTTCAGTCGTTGCCTCTGTCTCCCTTTTAACTTCGGTGATTGGCATCTCCTCATTAATAAAGTCAACTTTTTCCTCTTCAACGTCTGCAGGTTTTTCAGCAGCCCCGACCTCCGAATCATTTTCGACAAAATCAACCTTTGGTTCATCGACTTCATCATCTTTGATTTCATCATCCTTCACCACTGTCTCTGTATTAGCTTCGATCAAACTGTCTGCGGATTCATTGTCCAATCCTCCCACTGCCTTAACATTCTCTCCCTCATCCATATCCCCTTCCGATTTATAGTCCTCTGCCTCTATTCCCTCTACTGTTGCATGCAATTCATCCACATTCGAGTCCACTTGCAACTCGGAAAAATTATGTGCATCACTTGCATCAGTAACAACCCCCTCCACTATGGGGTCGACCGCAGGTGTAAATTCTTGCTCGGCCTCCGATACAATTTGTGGGTCCGCCAAATTATGTGCATCACTTACATCAGTAACAACCCCCTCCACTATGGGGTCGACCGCAGGTGTAAATTCTTGCTCGGCCTCCGATCCAATTTGTGGGTCCGCCAAATTATGTGCATCACTTACATCAGTAACAACCCCCTCCACTATGGAGTCGACCGCAGGTGTAAATTCTTGCTCGGCTTCCAATCCAATTTGTGGGTCCGCCAGCATTTCATCCTCTCTATAATCCATTTTCGACTCGGAATCAGTAACAACCATTTCTATCTTGGTGTCAACTACTGGTGAAAATTCTTCATCATCTTTCATTTTGAGCTCGGGGTCAACTCCCAATTCATACCCTCCACTTATCACTTGGGTTTCAGAAAACAGTGGCTCTGTATCAGTAACAGCTGCCACACCCTCGGCATCAATCTCTGCTTCTTCTTCAGCTTCATCAATCTTTGCTTCTTCTTCAGCTTCCATTTCGATTGGGAGCTCCTCAATTTGGGCAGCAGTTATTTCACAGCCACCTTCCTCTGCTACCACCGACTGCTCAACCATATCCGTCAGACCCTCCGCAATAAATTCCGACCCTTGCTCCTCCGCGTGATTTACCAAAATACCCTCTCCTTTTTCGTCGGCGTCCGGCTTATTCTCCGGCGAAGGGTCTCTATCTCCACCGACTGTTAAAGTCGATTCACCAAATTCCGGAATCGCCTCGCATTTCTCTGAGCTCTCTATCCCTACAAAGTCCAATTTTTCCTCTTCCATTTCCGTTTATTAGGGTTTATTCACATCTAGCAAGTAATCTTCATCGTCCACCGCGGGATTTTGATTATCGTTTTTTTTTGGTTCCCTTTCTTTCAAAACCCTAACCCTAAGTTTGATTAAAATCTTAGAATCGCTCTGTGCATGTAAGCTGGATGAGTGTACAAGATTTGTGAAAATCTTATTCTATTGAATAAGGGTTTTGGGAGTGAAGAAAGCTTGACGGATTTCAGTTTTCCCTTTCCTTTTTCTTTTTTCTTTTCTGGTGAGATTCGGCAATGCGAAAAAAATGTTTTCTTGTGGGCGAAAAATGAAAATGGAAAAGAAATAAAAGGAAAAAAAAAAAGTTAATTAATTTTATAAAAAAAAAAAAAAAGGAACTTTGCTCTAATTCTCTGGATTATACTTGAGATTGAGCCCGGCCCAATATAAATGGGCTGAATAATGGGGATATAATGTCTCCATTGGGCTTCTTTTCGTTAATAATTTTTTTTCTTTTTTAAATGCATTTTTATAGTTATAGCTAGGGAAAATATAATTTCCGTCCTTGTCCTTGAAGTTTGCATTGATTCCACATTTGATTCATTATGTTTTACAACTTCAAACTTTTAGTTATTTGTGTCAATTTTTGTAAGTACTAATAGAGTCAAAAGTGTGTTCATCACTGTTTTAACTGACGGACTACTGGTTGACAAAAACGACCAAAAGTGTTAAATTATTGAAACATGAGGGACCAAATGTGGTTTTTTTGTGAACATAGGAGACTGAATGTGAAATCGGTGTAAACTTGAGAGATTACGGCCACCCATGAGATAAGCTCAAATTAAGAAATCCCCCTTATGTTTGGGTAATTACAAACATCCCCTTAAGTCTCAACTATGAATTTTCTTATGCGTCTACCATTGCGGTGTCAAACTTAGTGCAATCTTCTAGATACGTGGAATATCTTTAGTTTGTACCCGTTCTATCTCATTCAATCTCCAAATTTGGAAACAATATGATCATCATATGTTTCTCTTGGCTTGTAAACATTTAGATTGTGGTGTATCAGAAACTGCATTTTTGCTCTAACGAGTACGGACTGTAGAATATTCCACGAAATCTAGTAGATAATGTTGAATTTGATATCACAATGATGGACGTGTAAGAAGATTCATTCTCGATGAATGATTAGCCAAACAATGAATGATTTTTTCGTAATTTGACATCAGTGGTGCCAGTAATTCACTATCATAATAGTGTTGTAGCTATCTGAAATTGGGCCCGAAAAGAACTTCAAAGTGGGCCTAATTTTAAATGCTCTTCGCTGCCGGGCTGTAAATTTTCTGGCCCACAATGAATTTCCTTTTTTTTTCAAAATCTTAATTTAATAAATGAAAAATAGATATTGAACCACAAATTGAATAAGGGTTGTGTTCCACCAATCCGATTACTTCAGCTGGTCGTCGTCCCGTGAACTATTTTCTTTCTGCGCACATACCTTTCGTTTATCTGTTTGCCAAATCGCGCGATTGTCACTGTACTCGCATTTCATCAGGTTCTCTCTCTCTCTCTCTCTCTCTGCATCTTAATTTTCCACCGTTATAATCTGAGGATCTCGTTATCTTAATTTTAGGTTTATGATTTGTCTGATGTTAATCGTGACGGTTTTTTCATTCCGTTTCCGTTTGCTGGGTTTTATACTATGTTGTTATGGATAATTGATGCTGTTATGGCTAAGTGATGGTTACTTGTTCATAGAAGTTAGGGTTTCGGATTTGCTATGACTTTTTTGTATTGTGGATTTATGTTTAAGACCTACTTAGAGGATTAGTTAGGGTTTTCAGATTAGATTGAATTAGGTTTTTTTTGCTGTTTCATTAATTTAATATAATTTTTCTCTTGAGTTGTGTTCTTTTGTTCTAGGGTTATGTTGGATTGCACCAGTTAGTTGATGGTAGTTTTGAAAATTGAAGGGGCATTGAAAACAGGGGACATGTATTTTGTTACCTCGTAAAAACTTTTGAAATTAGGAAACGAGGTCGAAGAATTGAAGTCGAGTACGCCAAAGTTTGATGTTGTTTAACTGGTATTGGATAATCGATTACATTCTCATAACATGCACATTAGAATCTGATGCTAGTTGTCCTAGGGCCAGTTAGTTTCTGCTGCGGTACTTCTGGAGTTCTATGTTTGTGTGGTTGTACGCATGGATGTTAGATGCGAAACCAATGCACTCCATCAATTCAGTTATTGCGCAGCATCTTCAGATGTTATTAGTTGAATGCTTGTTTGAGCATAATAAATCGGTGGCTCTATGATGAACTTGTCTTTTTTTTTTTTGTCTGGGATGGAGACTTCAGATTCATGTGGTTTGAGGTATGTGGATGGAAGGGAAGAAAGTATTGCCTCGTATTGCAAAGATGAAATGACAAGAAACTGTGTTCTATCTGTAAAATAGATTTTTTTATTTAATGAACTGGTGCGCTGACCTTGTTATGCCCCATCTGTTACTGAATTCCTTCATGCCCTTCTATTCTTATCTCTTTTGTTGTTTCTTATGTTCAATTAGACATTTTTTCCCATAGAAGCGAGGTAGTAAAAAATGAACCTAATGGAAGAATGGGTGGAAAATCCGCTGCGTGTAGTAAAACAAAATTATTGGCTGATATGTCCTATAATGAGGATTGTTTCAGCTTTTATACTTTTGTGATGTTTTTACAGTTAGAGAATCTTGCAAAACAGTGGATATCGATGCCACATTACATTTTTAAATTTAGAATTTCATGGGGTGATGGCTTACAGATGTGATATTGATGTATGGTGGGATTGTTGTTGAATGTAATAGTGTGGAAGTGTGGTGCTAAAAATCATGAAGGATCGAGTAAAAAAACGTGGGAATCATTGACTGGTCTTGGGTGTGTGGTTGTGGTGGACAGGGAAGAGGCAGCAGCTGGTGGTGTTGGTGATATTTTGCGTGTGAGGTGTTGTTTGTTGATTGGATAGTTTTTGAGAATGAGCTTAGACAACCGGAGCAGGAGCCGAAGCAGGAGCAGAAGCCGAAGCAGGAGCAGGAGCCCAATGGACCGTAAGATCCGTACTCAGCGCAGTTCATATCGCGATGCACCATATAGGCGGGATGCAAGACAGAGCAGCAGGTTATTTGGTTTTAATTAAATTCACATGTGACTTTTTCTTCACTGTTAAATATATGGTTTGGGAATGAAGAGACAATCGAGGAATGACATCATCTAGAAGAAAGCTAGATCCGATGTTTTTCCTAACTGATTTTGTGTGATGGTCGTGTCTTGATTGAATTAATATTGTTCCGATGTTAAAAGTTTTCTGTGCATGGTTAAAAATAACATGTTTCTCCATGTTTTGCAGCATTATCACTAATGTTTTCTAATAGTTTGTTCTAGGAATACACTTCATCTGATTAATTCAGAAATATACCCTATTGTTTGGAAAATACTTCTTGTCGACATCATAAATGTTTGCTTTGTTGTTTTTTGCAGCCACAACAGTTTATGCAAAAACTGCAAAAGGCCTGGCCATTATGCTAGAGAGTGTTCGAACGTGGCTATCTGTCACAATTGCGGCCTTCCTGGGTAAATTTTTTTAATATTTTTTTCTTTTATGTAGATGCTATGTTCATTGAAGATATTTAATGATGTTCTAACCATTACTGTCTAACATTTTTCTTGGCTAAGATCTTTTGAGTGTATTAGTTGTGTTTTGATATACGAAGTTCATTAAATCATATGATGTTTAACTAGTTTGCCCTCACATGAATTTGTGCTTTTTCTTATATACAGCATAAATTGTTCGCTATCTCTGTGGTTTTTGTTACCTAGAGCATGAAATGCGTGCAATCTTTGTATGTTTGTGCTGTAAAATGGTGGATTGCTGTTAATAGACTCAATTTCCTAGCTTTCTGTAATATCCATGACTTTATCTATATGTATACATTCCTCTGTCCTTGCCTAAACTTGTATTCCATATCACATCTATCAACCACCATTGATCTTTGAATAATCTAATATATTCTATATGAGTTTGTTTCCGTTTATACTGGTCAAGATCTTTAAATAATCTAATACACGAGATATTTGAAGAAGATTCACTATTGATAATTTCACCGATTTGTAATTTTGCACCTGTGTGTCTATTGGGGGATTTTGAGCAGGCATATTGCATCAGAATGCACGACAAAATCTCTCTGTTGGAACTGCCGCGAGCCTGGGCACATGGCTGGAAATTGTCCAAACGAGGGCATCTGCCACACATGCGGAAAGGCAGGTCACCGCGCAAGGGACTGCTCAGCTCCTCAACTGCCGCCCGGTGATCTAAGGCTATGCAACAACTGCTTTAAGCAAGGCCACATGGCGGTCGACTGTACCAATGACAAGGCCTGCAAGAACTGTAGGAAGACAGGCCACCTCGCACGTGATTGTCCAAACGACCCTGTCTGCAACATGTGCAATGTATCGGGCCACGTGGCTCGTGGCTGTCCAAAGGCTAATATGCTCGAAGAGAGGGGTGGTGGTGGTCACGAGAGGGGTGGTGGTTTTGAGAGGGGCGGTGGTGGTTTTGAGAGGGGTAATGGTGGTTTTGAGAGAGGTGGTGGAGTTCGTGGAGGTGGATTAAGGGATATTGTTATGTAGGAACTGCCAGCATGTGGGGCATATGAGTAGGGATTGTATGTCGATGACTATATGCCACAACTGTGGGGGGAGAGGGCATCTTGCGTTTGAGTGTCCGTCTGGGAGGAAACTGCGACCCCTTTTCCAAGAAGGGACCTGGGTTATGATTTTTTCTATGTTTTTTTGTTTCCCCGAAAAACTGTGATTTCCTTTTTCATGTTTCGATTTTGAAGTGAGGTTGATGTTGCACTTGCTGATCTTTGTTGTTTTTATCTTATTAATCTTGACCTTCTTTCTCTACTTGTGATGGACCTGGTTTTTAATGTAGTGCTTTCTTTACAATTTGAAGAACTTGTTTTAAAAAATGTGGGCTGGTGAAAGGGCATAGTAGTAAATTGATCATTTCTTGCTATCTATACGGCATATTTTGTTTTTCTTCGTTTTCTTGACTATTATAACGTGATGGTATTTGAAGCAAATACGTAAAGTTATGTCCTTGTCGTCTCTGATAATCTGGTACTATTGATTTTGCTATCAAGGTCTGTTATGGGGTGAGTTCGGTTTTGTGTCACTAATTTCTCATACTTTCGAAGAAAATGAAATGAAAAATCATTTTGAATTACCCCCATTGCATCTTTTCTACATTCAGAACAATTGTTCCTGATGAAATTTTATGTATCAAACCAGAATTTAAACGGCATAAACAGAAAAATAAAGAAACATAAGATAAAAGTTGCATGTGGGTCTGGGAGTTGCCCCTAGGAAGAAGTCATTCTGCCAAAATTTACATTTATTTATCAATATAACTAAAACTTTTGTCCTGAAAAGTTATATTCTTCTTTGTCAGAAAATCCAAACTCAACAAACCAACCAACCAACCAACCTATGGTTCTGTACAAACTGAAACTAATTTCAGTATTCCATGTGTGGTCACTGGTCACTGGTCAAGATGAAAAGGAGATTCTGAGCCACCTTGATGATTACCTTTTATGGCCCAATTATAGAACACTTGGGTAATTATATATTTTTAAATAATTATAAATAAATGAAACAATAAAATTACTAATAATATGGAATACATTTAACATTTCAACTTAGAGTTCAACTTACCATTGATGTTATATTTAATTACATATAATCCGTTACATCGAGTGAAATACATCAAATGATTCTATATGTGTACGTGTGCTTAGTGGATGTAAAATCAGACGGTATATTTCACCGGGTATAGCTTCTCGTAGACTGAAAATATGACATAAACCTATCTTTGAGTTTGTTTAAATAAAAAATGTTAGAAAATTGCTAAATTTAAGAGAAACTTTATGTTTTTAGGTATATTGTGTGCCTTCAAGAGGATCAAAGATCTAGAAAAATTGATGTAAACCCAACTAACCATAAAATATTTTACCAGAACAACAATAGCGACAATACTGAAAAGAAAACAAAACAAAAAGTGTTACTTCAATTTTGACGTGAATTGTTCATTCACATGTGTGCAGTCTATTTTATTATGTGTCCTATTATTCAGAGTTCAACTACAAAATTTCACAGGTTTTAATAAGACAACACAGCTTACAACAAAATGGATAAATTATCCCATACAAGATTGATTCGCCACTTTTTTCTTTGCTTATTTTCCTTTATTTATTTATTTATAAATATGTTGAAGAATAAATCAATAAAAAACAATGAAATCTAAATCATCATTAACAATTGTTCAAGTTGCTTAAAGAAACCAACCAACTTTCAATCTTGTGAACATGAAGACACCGGAAAATGGTTCGTTATCGGCCTCTCTTTCATGTACCTCACATAAAAGATGAGAATAATTCCCCTCTATTTTATGCAGAAAATTAAGTTTAAATAGCACTTAATCCCCATCTGGTTTGAATTTTGTATACGTGACCCTAGCTCTTATACTTTAAATATAAGCACACGATCCCCATGTATTTTAATATATTGAAAGTACAGCGAGATGTTTTCAGATACATCTAATTCAATTTTATTCCTTATATTAATAAAAAGAAATTTGAAACTTTAACTTACCACTCCTTCTATGCGTAGTTAAAATATATCTGATGCTAATGAAATGATGAAGCATATTAATACTACTATAATAGGAATATTATAAATGACCCTACATAGAAGGAAAAAATGGGCAAAAAATAAATAAAATAATAATAAAATAAATAAACCACGACTTATGGGAGAGTAATGAAAGTCATGTGAATTTGAAGTGTCGCCACCAGCCGTGTCGGCGCCCATTCGACTTCCTCTTTCCAATTTTCCATACACCCGTGAGCCCCTCAATTGCCGCACATATTTAAACCAACCACTAATTTTTTGCTCAATAACTATTTTTTGGACTTAATTTTAGTGCCAAAATTCAACTAGTAAATTATATAATCGAAACTAACAAAATTCTATTAATTTAGCGAATTATTTAAACTATCGAACTAATAATTTAAATCGTTTTTGTCGAGTCGGGACCGAAATTAACAATTATTAAAGGGATGTTAATAATTTATCGAGATTATAATGTACATTCTTCAATTTATTCTTCATTCTTAACAATCGAATTAATTTTTCCAACAATTGATTTGATATATTTGTATTTATCACTAATTGGGCTTTTAAAGACGAAATAACTTCCAAACTTTGATTTGTTAAATTTTTTTTTTAAAGAGGTATTTACCATTTTACCCCTCCATGCCTAACAGTCCACTTAAATTCCACACTACAAAAACTAGCCCACGACCATCCAACAGAACAACACTCTCTTCGTTCAAAACCAGAGAAGAGTGAGAAAAAAGAGGGAAGGAAGAGAGAGAAAAACATGAAACGCGCGCACTACACACACTTCTTACTACTGCTCCTAGGGTTACCGTTTCTCGCGGTGAGTTACCACGACTACTCCGACGCGTTGACCAAGTCAATTCTGTTCTTCGAGGGGCAGCGCTCCGGCTACCTTCCGGCGGACCAGAGGATGACGTGGCGCGGGAACTCCGGCCTCGGCGACGGTTGGACTGCTGGTACCGACCTGACCGGCGGCTACTACGACGCCGGAGACAACGTCAAGTTTCATTTTCCGATGGCGTTCACCACCACAATGCTGGCGTGGAGCGTCGTGGAGTTCGGCGACTGCATGCCGCCGCCGGAGCGGAGGAATTCTCTGGTGGCGATCCGGTGGGCGACCGATTACTTGCTGAAGACCGTTTCTCAACCCAACCGCATTTTCGTCCAGGTACCAAATTATCATCAACCATTGAAATCAAAATTGTGGTGAATTTTTTTTTTATCATGCTTAATTTTTGAATTTTCTGTTTGAGTTTCCATGGAAATTACACCTTAATTGTTTTTAATTACAGAGTACAAAAAAACTAAACTTAATTGCGAGTAAAGGTATAATTGGTGAATGCAGTTGGAAAAAGTTAATCAAAGTTAAATAGCTAACAAACTAAAACAACCACCAGTCTTTGTTTGTGGGCCCCACTAATCCTCTGCACAGATCTAATGGTGGAAACTCACACAATCAATTCCACCTAATAATGCGTGAAAGCTCAAATTTCTATACACTAATAAAGTTGAACTGTTGTTGTAGCAGAAAATTAGTGTGGTTAATTAAGGATTAATTACTATTGAAAAATGGATTAAGAAATTAATCACTGAATAATTGAATTGTGTTTTTGCAGGTGGGGGATCCGATTGCAGACCACAACTGTTGGGAAAGGCCGGAAGATATGGACACTTCTAGAACAGTCTACACAGTCGAGGCACCGAATCCGGCGTCGGATGTCGCCGGAGAAACGGCGGCGGCTCTTGCCGCCGCGTCCATTGCATTCCGATCATCTGATCCTGGATATGCTGAGACTCTGTTGAGAACTGCCACCAGAGTTTTCGAGTATGCGGATACTTACCGAGGTGCTTATAGTGATAACTCGAATATTAGAGATGGTGTCTGCCCTTTTTACTGTGATTTTGATGGATATCAGGTAATTAATTAATCTCTAAACATTTTTCTTTAAGTATATAAATAATATTATATACCTTTTATTTAATTACCTATGAAATTTAATCATTACATAAAAAAACAGGATGAATTGCTGTGGGGAGCAGCTTGGCTAAGGAGGGCTTCACAGGATGATTCTTATCTCAATTACTTGCAAAACAATGGTAAAACACTTGGTGCAGATGACAACATTAACGAATTCGGATGGGATAATAAGCATGCCGGTTTGAACGTGCTCGTTTCCAAGGTTAGTAATTCAAAATTTTCTAACAATTTTCGAGCATGCGTGTATAAATATTTGTAACCCCCCCCCCCCCCCCCTATAGTGCAATTTTTTTAGCCGATTAACGCTCGTTGTTTTGGGGTTTATGTGCTAAAGATGCATCGTAGGGGTGTTTTTGCTAATATTTACAACACGGGGACTTTTTAGCAATTCGATATAAGTTCCACGAATTATTGAAAAAATAATCAAGAATATTAATGTTTTTTTTTTAATTTATTGCAGGAGGTAATGGAGAATAGCAAGTACTCTCTTCAATCATACAGAGCATCAGCAGATAGTTTCATGTGCACATTAATACCAGAGTCCACTTCATACCACATAGAGTTCACTCATGGTGGACTCATTTACAGGCCAGGTGGAAGCAATTTACAGCATGCCACCACTATCTCGTTTCTACTACTCGTTTACGCAAATTATTTAGAAAAATCGTCCCAAATTGTTAACTGCGGTGAAGTTAGCATCAGCCCTACAATGCTGAGGCAGATAGCTCAAAAGCAAGTGAACTATATTCTCGGGGAAAATCCAAAGGGAATGTCGTATATGGTTGGATACAGCAGTTTATACCCTCTAAGAATCCACCACCGCGGATCTTCTATTCCTTCAATTAAAGATCACCCGAAGGTGGTTTCTTGCAATGAGGGTACGGTTTATTTTAACTCGTCGAACCCTAATCCTAATTTGTTGATTGGGGCAGTAGTTGGTGGCCCCGGTGAAGATGACGCTTATGATGATGATAGAGGCGATTTTCGAAAGTCGGAGCCTACAACTTATATTAATGCTCCGTTTGTTGGTGTTCTTGCGTATTTTGTGGCTAATTCCAACTAACCATCCATGGTTAGGTTTTAACCATTCATTCACCATTTACCAAGTGTATTTGAATTGGGATTTAGTGAAAATATATGAGAGTCTCTCATCTTGCACAAAGCAAGGAGGAAGAGGCTTTGTAGGATTGTATGGCTACAATTGCTCAAAGTTTGATATGAGAAGTTGTGGATTTTAATTTTGCATTATTATAATTAAAGAGATTGTAAGCTTTGGTATTATTGATTGGGCGAGTTATATGTTACACCTGGTTATTTACACCGGGTGAATCTGAACCATAGATTTGATTATAAGTGTGATTATGTGTTAATTTACTGTTCGAATTCATCTGATGTAAATAATCAGGTGTAACATTTAATTTCCCTGACCGAACTCGAACAATTTTATATTTGCACGTCTCTAACGCATACATGATTGAGGAGTGGTTTCCAAATGCAAGAAGTTGGCATTTAAAGAAGTTTGTCTATGTCTTGTATTCATGAACCATTGATTTCTCCATCATCTAGTCACCTCTCGTAAATTGAATGCAGTTAATTTAAAAATGATAAATTTTCGACAAATGACAAACAAAGTATTAATACTGAATATTTTTTGGGCCTACCAACTCAAAATTAAAATTTTCCAAGTCCCATCAATTGTATTACACAATTTAAATACCTAACCACACAAATGTCATTCAATTCACCGATCACTCCCAGTCTCCATAAATTATATAAAAAAAAACTTATTACTTGCATATTTTGCAATAAATTATCTTTGGCGATAGGTTATGTCACACTATATTGTTTTGGTAAAAAGAAATTGTTATGCGGAAGGCCAAGTTTAATTGCTTAGTGAGTGGGCCATTGAGTTTTCACATTGTTATCCACTCAGATCTGAATGAACCAATAGACTTTTCCTCCTCCTTTAATGGGTAACTGGCCCATTTCTCCGACAGCCCATCTGAACTATTTGTATTGGTATATTATTAAATAAGTAACCTAACATTAATCCGTTGTAGTCTAGTTGGTCAGGATACTCGGCTCTCACCCGAGAGACCCGGGTTCAAGTCCCGGCAACGGAAATTATTAGTTTTATTTTATTTTTGGTCAAGCTCAAACTTATCTACGACGGTGGATGCGCGTCGTTTACGTATTCTCTTCACACCTTTTTACCGTTTGAATTTCTTCCGCACAAACCCTAATTTTTCATTCCGTTAAACGTATCTTCTCCTTCTGATCAATTTCTTCCAATCTTTCGCCGCTTAAGCAAACTACGATTTACAATTTTTCTCTTTCGCTGTTCATTTTCTTCTCCCTTTGATCAATTCCTTCCAAACTTTCGGCAGCTAAGCAAATTACGACTCTGATTTTTTTTTTTTTCTTTTTTCGCGTTGTTCAGTCCTTGCGATTGGAAGGTTAGTAAGAATATAAATGCAATTCCTTTGAAATTTTGTTGTGTTATGTATTCGGTGAGGAAGTGTATTTCAATCTGTTACTTCTGATAGTTGATTAGTTATGAGATAGAAATTTTGAATAGATTGTTTGAGTTTTGGATATCGTGATTTACGGCACTTTAATTCGGAGTTTATTCATATTTTGCTTCAGTAAGCCAGCAATTCCTTTGTAGCTAAATTTATTTGAAATGATATATCCATATCACTTTTGTTTCACACATAAATATGCTCATATCCCGGGATCACATGCTCTGAATTTTGTTAGGGTAGTGTGCAATGTAAGATTACCCTTTTCATCAAATCTATTTGCTGAAAATTGGAGAAATAGTAAACAATTTATGCTTCCTTCGAAGTTTGTTGAAATAGTTTTTACCACATAACCGTACAATTAGCTGATGTATGAGGGGATGATTTATGCGGTTTGTGCATTTTTTTTGGCCAAATGTTTATGTACTTGAGAATGATCACATGTTTGGGTGCGGGCTTTCGGTTACGGGCGGCATTTATTTAGTGCATTAACTCGAAAAGTTGATGATTCTCACATGTTCACATCGAATGGTGATTTTGAATGTCAAGTACAATTTATGTTTTGTGATTAGAGTAATTGGTGACATTGCGGCTAAAATATTTGTTTGCTTTAATAAGACCTTACCAATACTTAATAATAATGGCGCACTAATCTTGATTCTGATTCACTTGTTATAGCCATAGTTGTTTCTGACTTAAGTTTTGTCTTCACTAGGTCTAAATACTATGGAGTTCGGGCAGAACGGAGTAACACTTTCACAAGAAGATGTTGCTTGGGCAGATTCTTGCTTCAGTAAAGACCCCGACACTGATTGGGATTCCCTTAAATACGCCTTGTTACAAACTCTCGACACCCAAAATCACTCATCTTACGAGAGAGAAAACTCTCCCAAAGCAAGAGCAAATATGGATATCAGTTCTAGTGAAAATACTAGCGACGAAGGAGAACAAGAACCAAACAGTAACGGCCGTTCAAACGATGAAAATACTGACGAATTCTGGTCGAGACATAAAAGGGAAGATGTTTTTCTTCCAACGTACAACGAAAATACGAGGGACTTTGGAGTTTTCGATCCCGAGGTGGATTTTGTTTTTCAAGCGTTTGAAGTGGAGGAAGGGCTATCATCATCGAGCGAAGACATTTTCAAGACATGGGATTTAGGTATAGCGCCTCGTGAAGACGAAGAAGAAGATGCTATGGTGCAGATAATTAAATCCCTTGCATGGAAAGACTTGTTCGATGATTCACTCGATGATCTCGTTTCTGGAATTGCAGGCCTCAGTTTGAGTTCTAAATCAGGCTAACTACTTAACTTATTCACTGTTGATATTTCCCCTAGCGGCACGAAATAGCTTATGCTTATTTATTTAGCGTTACATATTTCATTTTAAAGCTCTCTTTCTCGCCTTTTTTTTTCCTTTCGTTTTTTCGATTCAATTGTTGGGGACTTGCTTACCTGTCTGAATGAAACCTGACCACAAAACCAGTTCAATTACCAAGCACAGTTTTTTTGTTCCATGGCTTATGGTTATATTCAGACCAAAATCCTGGGACTAAATATTGGCCATTTATCACCTAATCATAGGCCAAAAAAGGAGACCACAGCCTCATATTTATTTGTGATGCCAAGAAAATATTAAAAAAGAAAATTTATTTATTTATTTGTTTTTGGGTATGGTTATATGATGAATTTGCAACCAGTGGTGCAACATGCCAAAGCCGGACAAATTATCACATCCACATGGAGGCTGGTGATTGGTCCACACATAACAGCCTCAGAGGACATATCTTTCCACACTATACACTTTTTTATATATATAGAGAGTTTGTTTGCACACTGAGGATGTGTGGCAAAGAGAGTGAGAGGGAGATAAGATTTTTGAATAAGGGTTGGCCGTTGCTTCTTATTTCTATCACATTCTCAAGAAAAAACTTGTACACCAAACAAACATAGCAATGGCCTCAGCATCACTCCTCAAGTCATCTCCGGTTCTCGAAAAGTCCGACTTTGTCAAGGGGCAGACTCATCTCCGCCAGTCTTTGGCCGCCGCCTCTGTCCGCCCCAACACCGCCTCCTTCCCTCTCACCGTCCGTGCTTCCTCCTACGCCGATGAACTCGTCAAGACCGCGGTACTTTTCTCGTTTTATTAATTTTCAAATCAGTTCATGCAGATAGTTTTTAGTGGATAAAGATGGTTATCATAGAATCTGCTAGTCAAACATGTATGAAAAAACAGCATTTTAGTGTAGCCCACTTAGGCCTTATTTGGTTGTAATGGCGGAGCCAGCATAGGGTAACGGGGGGCCATGGCCCCCCACCACCTCGATAATCATATTTGTTAGTCTTCAAGTAGTGTTATTGTCTCCCTTGAGAATTTTATAGATGAAAACCTACTGTGAACAATACACACACACACACACACACACACTACTTTTTGTATTTGGTGTAGTGGATAAATTAACTAATGTGGTGTGTGTGTGTGTGTGTATTTATTGGGTGTAGAAAACTATTGCGTCACCAGGGCGTGGTATTCTAGCCATGGATGAATCGAACGCGACATGCGGGAAGCGTTTGGCGTCCATTGGACTAGAAAACACAGAGGCTAACAGGCAAGCGTACCGTACACTTTTGGTGACGCCACCTGGACTGGGGAACTACGTATCAGGTGCCATCCTCTTTGAGGAGACACTCTACCAATCCGCCGTTGATGGTAGGAAGATCGTTGATATCCTCACTGAGCAGAACATTGTTCCCGGTATCAAGACTGATAAGGTCAATTAGTATCCAAAAAAAAAATCTTCTTTTTTGTTGAACTTTTTTTTTTGTAAATGTAGTTATTGATGAGTGGTTTGAGTATTATATAGGGTTTGGTTCCGCTTGCGGGTTCAAATGATGAGTCGTGGTGCCAAGGTCTTGACGGGCTTGCTTCCCGCTCTGCTGCTTACTACCAACAGGGTGCTCGTTTTGCCAAATGGTAATTAAAATCTTTCTTTTTTATAGTAGTAATAATGGATTAGATTCATTATATTGTTATAATAAAATTATTTAATTCTATTTACTGTTTCAGGCGTACCGTTGTAAGCATTCCCAATGGTCCATCTGCTTTGGCCGTGAAGGAGGCCGCCTGGGGACTTGCTCGCTACGCCGCCATTTCTCAGGTATAATTAGTGCATAAATTGGAAACGGAGTTTCCGAATTCCATCAATTTCAATCATAAAAAATATTTTCGATTTTGGAACAATATTTTCAATTTAAAATTCCAAAAGTTTCGATTTTTGAACTTTTTCGAAATTGTTAGTTTCGGTTCAGTTTCCAGCCATAGGGATAATAATATAATGGACATGTGGGTTAAGGTTTTGCATTTCGTTCGTATTGAAAAAAATTCTAAGTTCGTATTTTTTCGATAAATATTATTATTAGGACAATGGATTGGTGCCGATAGTGGAGCCAGAAATATTGTTGGATGGAGAGCATGGGATAGACAGGACATTTGAGGTAGCACAGCAGGTATGGGCAGAGGTGTTCTTCTACTTGGCTCAGAACAATGTTCTGTTCGAGGGTATTCTCCTCAAGCCTAGCATGGTGACACCTGGCGCCGAGTGCAAGGACCGTGCCACTCCCGAGCAGGTCGCCGACTACACTCTCAAGCTCCTCCACCGCAGAGTCCCCTCTGCCGTCCCCGGAATCATGGCAAGTCTTTTTTTTTTTTTTTCCTTCCCTCTAATTTCAATCATATACCTAAATAACATGATTAATTAAATAAATCGACCTTTCTGGATGTCTGGTTAGTCAAATAACATTCTCGAACTAATCTTCGCTGATTGAGAGATTATTTAATTGGACCTGCGACGGTCCAACAATATAACATGGGTTTTCATAAGATTATTATGTAATCATCTTCGCTGATCTTAACATAGGGCCAAACAAGGCCTTACAGTATCATCGATAAAATATTCAAACAATTGTTTTTGATTTTGTATTTTGTTTATAGTTCTTGTCTGGTGGGCAATCGGAGGTTGAAGCAACACTCAACTTGAACGCAATGAACCAATCTCCAAACCCGTGGCACGTGTCTTTCTCGTACGCGAGAGCTCTGCAGAACACATGCTTGAAGACTTGGGGAGGATTGCCCGAGAACGTGCAGGCGGCTCAGGAGGCTCTGCTTGTGAGGGCTAAGGCTAACTCTCTGGCTCAGCTCGGGAAATACACCGGTGAGGGAGAGTCCGAGGAGGCTAAGAAGGGAATGTTTGTTAAGGGCTACAGCTACTAAGCTCATTATTATTTATTTTGGAAACTACGAGAAAACGAGAAAAGGTCTGTAAAATTGTTAAGCCGAAAAAGAAGATGTGTTGTTGCTCTTGACGCTTATTTATAGCGATTTGAGACTTATTTTTGTTCATTTTACGTGTACTCTCTGTTTTTAACCAGTTAATAAACCTTGATGCTGATGAGAACTAGTTCTACTGTCTTGTTTTTCAGAAGCATGATTTTCAACCCTGTTCCGTTCTTTTGTCAAGATTTTGTTGCTTCGGGTTTGAGTACATATCTGTTTGTTCTGAATAATCGCATGCAACGGAGTAGTAGAAACAGAGGCTGACATAGAAATGCTTAAGCTCGCATATATTCGACACTAACAGAGTTATTAACCTTCCATATTATTCCTGCATTGATAAATATTCCTAATATAACATCGACGACACAATAGCTATATACAAAAATAACAAGATTGAAGAAAATATTCCGATAGCCCATGTACAGAAAAACGAGTTCCAAGAAGCAACAAATAATAATTATTTCGAGTTGCAAGGGAGCCGATTATATCAGAGATGAGTTGCGGATACAACTAGTCTAAGCCAATGCACAATGTACAGGACCTATAGTTTTTCTCTATACCCTTAGGTATATCAAAAAAAGCCCGAAAAAGAAAAAAATAGTAACGAAATATATGTGCGGTTTTATTGGTCAATTGCACTTTCCTAATGTCTTTCAATTTACATCAGACCATCTACCACAAATTTCTTCAACAAACAAACTTTGTTCAACGCATAATGCTAAGAGTGGGAGAAAATGATTTGCAAAATAATCCTATGCTTCACTGATGCTAAATAAAAGTTCGGCAGTTGTAAAATTTCACTTTTGTGACTGTCGCGTGTGCTGTCTCAATCCACTGTTAATACCACCTCAAAGCACGCTGCATCGAACTGCAGAAGTTGCAAGAAAAGAAGGAAAATATTAGAATAACTGTGAGTGAAAATGTACTAAAATCTCGATATCTAAATAAATCAAGACCGTTTTAAAGGTGTCGGATCGGTATAAAAAACTTCTTAGCTGCCCCCGACCACCAACCCACACACAAAAACACTCTCATGATGACTTTTTTTAATAGTATTCTTGTGACTCGACAAACAATGTCGACGAAGTAAAGCTCAAAATAAACCATTGTTTATGATGATATAAGGGACAAAGACTTTTGTTTCGGTTAACATTATTACAATACCAAATCCTGCTTAGTATAAGCCCGTAGCAATGGAAATGCAAACTGAAGTTGATAATAGAATGAATTTGAGCAGTCTGGCATCGGAAACTTATCCGAACAATAATTAGAAAGGTGACAAAAACCATAAATCAGGAAAATTTTCAGAATTTTAGCACTAGACGAGTAGTATCAAACATACACCTTCTACTAGGATTTCTCCTTGTGGAGAATGCTGCATGATAAATATAGATCAAAGCAGTTCCAACATGGTGAAAATAATTAAGATTTTTTTCCTTTTAGCTTTGTTATGCTGCCAACAATAGTATATATATATGTGCATTTGCTTAATGAGTTCATACAGGATATTTTGGTCGTACTAGAATATACCTTCATTACTTCTCAAGCTCCCTTTTGTAGTATCCATCTGGAACCACACTTTCGAAACCATGATTGTTGTCACCGAAAGTATCCACTCGTTCCTTGGAATTAACATAACCAAAAGAAAAAAAATGAATTTTTTCAAGATTACCGGACGATAATTCAGAGTTAACAAACCACAATTCTTGAAATATATAGTAGTTTTTGACACACACAAACCATTATAGTTAAAGAAGATAGATACCTGGTTGTTTGGAGCATGTCCATGCATCCTTTGAGGTCTGGCATTTAGGTCAATTAAATTATTCTCCATCCTCCCATCGTACTCAGTGTCGTTACCAAGATTTCGGTTGGGAGAAGCCCCGTGATTTTGCTGATTCTCTATCGCCCTATGATTAGACATGTGACTAGTTTCCATCTTTGCTTCACCGATATTGTTTCTCTGTGATCCTGGCTCGTCTACATTTCCAGGTTTATCCCCTGGAAACTACAGAAGCAAAACACAGAAGAAATAAAGATCGAGGCTCGTATTTGTCGGTCACAAAAAAATGAGAACCAGGTCCCTTCTCAGTACAACCACAAACCTCGACTCTTTGTCTCAGCATGAGATATCTTCCGTGGGTTCTTTTACCGCCGACATGGACAATCATATCACATTGCAGGCAAAGGGAACTTCCATCAATCTCACAGTAAAAGAAAGCTACATAAAAGACCCGAGTAAATATTCTTTTTTTAGAACAAGTTTTCAAATATATGGAAACGGAGAAGACATGAAGCAGACCATACCAGGAGCACTTTCGCATATGTCACAACGTAGGAGTTCACTAGGCTCGGCAAGTCCAACTCGAACATGTCTATTCGCGAGCTTGTTACACATATGAACCTGCCATAATTCATAACAAGTAAAACCCATACTTTGTGTCCATAAACTTTTTCTTACAGCAATCAATTCTTAAACAATACTGTCTAAATG